TCCGGCGGCCATCCAGGCCTCTCTCGGGGCGCCGACTGCTCGCCTCTGCGCGCTCCGATCCTGGCCAGGCTGGCACTGGGCGGGTCCCAGGAATCGGGCAGGGGATCGACCACAGAGTGGATGTATCCCAGAATTGACACTGTCGTCGAATCGACGGAAACTACGTAGAATGTTCCTAGATCTACGAGCGTTTCTGCGCGCTTTCTCGTGGAGTCAACGAGGAAATCAGTTACGGGACAAATCAATTCTGTAGTCGATCCCCTTCCCTATTCGAAGGAAGAGCCTGGCCAGGGTCGGTGCTGGAGGATGGTTGGCGCTCCTCTTGACAGGTAAACCCTCCTGCAGGAGGCGCAGGCGATCGGCCTGCGCCTCCGTACCGCACCGCGGCAGCCGACCACGCCACCAAGCCCGTCGTCGTGCTGGCGAGGAGGCCCCCAGCGAAGAAGGCTCCGGCGGCGAGTGCCGAGGAGCTGGCCGAGAGAGCCGAGGAGGAGAAGGTGGCCGGCGAGGCCTGGAGGCGGGAGCTGGAGCAGAAGGAGTCGCAGGCGCTCGATGCGATCGAGCGCATGGTCTCGCAGGCCGACATCAGGGGGAAGTTGCCCGCTCCTGCTCGGGCCAGCGCTCTGGAGACCGAGGGGCACGATGATAAGCTCGTGAGTCCACTCTTCCGTCTGAAGGGCGACAGTCGGCAAGACTATTGGTGCGACGACACGGCGGGCGAGCCCATGTTTGAGGGGACTGTCAGCGACAGCTTGGCCTGCGAGGAGAAGTGCGGGGCGAACCTGAAGTGCGGCTTTTTCAGCTTCTTCGAAGGGGACAAGTACTGCCTCCTCTCTGAGGAGAGTCTCCTCCAGCTCCGTCTCCTGCTTCTGACCTTCCCCCGTCTCCTTCTCCTCATCATCATTCCCTTGTTGTTTCCCCCCTCTTCCTCAGTGATCCCCAGAACCCCTGAAGTCTTTGCGTTCGGCACGAAACAGTGAGCACTCCTAGAGATAAGGCCTCCCAATTCTGCCCTTACAAATCAATCCCCTCCACCTCATCCCTCTCCTCTTTCTCAGCCTCCTGAAGTCTCAGACTGGCAAAGGTAGTCACTCAATTGTGGCCGCTAGATGATCCGTGCCACACACAGTTCTGACAGCAAAGTACATTTGAATATCATGAGATATGGGCAGCGTAAAGCTGACTGGGATGACCAGGACCCTTCGCCTAATGCCAAACCTTTCGCTCGTAATAAGCATTGCATCCGAGAACACTTTAGAATCCCTGGAATGGGTTTTCGCCTCCCAGGACTTCTGCCATCCCTCCCCCCCATCCCCATCAGCATCATCCCCCCCTCATCCCTGATACTCCCTACCTCCTCCCTCGTAATCCGTCCTCATACATCGTCGTGCTTCCTCTATCCTTCCTCCCTCCTCCTCCTCCCCTTCCTATTGTTGTTCATCCCTCTCCAGTCCATCTGGTCGCCCACCAGCTGCACTGGTGCTTGATCACGGCACGCGCTGGTCGCGCACGTTGCTGCGCGCTTGTTGCAGATGTGAATTGGTCGTTAGTTGATCATCCTGCTCTCCCGACGTGTCCAATCTGATGTTCCTCCCCCTCCCTACTCGGCGGCCCTTTCTGCCCGCCGCTGGCGAGCTCCTTGGCCTGCAGCCCCTATTGTGGGTGACTGCACGCCCCGGGCAGTAGCTCCCAGTGGATCCCCTTCGCAAAGCTCCGATCCGATCCGATCCCTCCTCGCGGAGGAGTGCGGCGAGATGTCCCCGTCGAGCAGAGGGCACGTGAAGGTCTTCGCCAAGGCAGAGGAGTCCCGGGCCCAGGGCCCTGTTCGCCACATTGTTCCCCCCCTCTCTTTCGATGGGGAGGAGAGGCGTAGAGCAGAGGAGGAGAAGGAGGAGCAGGAGGAGGAGCCTATAGATTGTTGGATGCTCGGGGTCCCTTGGGGCCCGCGAAGCCCTCCCGAGGAGAAGCAGGAGGAAGGGGGAGGAGCCGAGGAGGAGGAGGAGGAAGAGGAGGAGGAGGAGGAGGAGGAGCAGGAGGAAGAGGGATTACGGCCACACTTGTCTGCAGAATTCGCAGACGAGGCGAGAAGAGAGGAGGAAGGAGGAGGAGGAGGAGGAGCAGGAGGAGGAGGAGGAGGAGGAGGAGGAGGAGGAGGAGGAGGAGGGAGAGGGAGGAGGGGAGGAGGAGGGAGGAGGAGGAGGAGCAGGAGAAGGAGGAGGACGAGAACGAGGACGAGGACGAGGAGGAGGGAACAATGTCCCCCCATCGTTCTCACCTCTCTCCTCCTCCCTCCTTCCTCCTCCTCCTCCTCTCCTCATCCTCCTCCTCCTCCTCCTCCTCCCCATCCTCCTCCTCCTCCCCCTCCTCCACCTCCCCCCCTCCTCCTTCATTCCTTCTCCTTATAGATAACTTATCCCTGTCGCACCCCGAGGCCAGTTTATAGGGCGGGTCATGCGTTTCGCTTGAGACTTCCTCATCATTTATGACTCTGAAGCTTAAAAAGTGGCAACAGCTTCACAGATGGAGGGCGGGTGGTTTGCAAGATGTGGCTCTCGCCATAGCGCCGCGCACATTCGTTTTTCAAATTTCGCAAGAGTTTCACTGATTCAGGGCGGGTCGTTTTCAAAATGTGGTTCTCGCCTTCGCGCCGCGCACATGTGTCTAAAAATTGCAAGAGCTTCACGGATTCAGGGCGGGTCGTTTTCAAAATGTTGCTCTCGCCTTAGCGCCGCGCACATTCGTTTTCAAAATTCTCAAGAGTTTCACGGATTGAGGGCGGGTGGTTTTCAAAATGTGGTTCTCGTTTCAGCGCCGCGCATTTTCGTTTCTACATGTCACAAGAGTTTCACGGATTGATGGTGGTTCTGTTTTGAAATGTGGTTCTCGCCTTAGCGCCGCGCACTTTCGTTTTAAAAAACCCAAGCGTTTCACGGATGTTTATAATCAGCGTACCAGACATGGTGTTTTGGGATTGCTTGAGGATTATGCGGGCGCAACAGTTATGTTGATTCACAATATTGAAATCCCAATGAAAGACGTTATGGCACGATTCTAGATCGTCAAAATGCAGCAGTCAGGCTGATACGTGGCGTTGAAATCCCGAGAGCAATCTTTTGGCATGTTTCAGGATCTTCAAACGGCTGTCTTCCAACGAGGCAGTTCCCACAATGGAAATGAACCGTTGTAGGGGCCTATGAAGAGGGAGCTTGGAGGGAGGGTTGTTACTTCCAACATCGTTGATGACGCTTGGGTTTACACCGGTCCTCCTCCTTCTCCCCCTCCTCCTCCTCCTCGGCCGCCTCCTCATCCTCCTCCTCTTCCGCCTCCTCCTCCTCCTCCGCCTCCTCCTCATCCTCCTCCTCCTCCTCCTCTGCCGCCTCCTCATCATCGACCCCCATCCGTCCCCATCATTATTCCTCCCCTCTCCAGTGCTCATCATCCTTCCTCCTCATCATCATCCCCTTCCTCATTATCCTTTTTCGCCTTATCCTCATGTTTTGCATAATCGATCCTCACGCCTTCTCCCTCCTCCTCCTCCTCCTCCTCCTCCTTCTCATCATCACCATCATAATCAGAATCATAAGCATCATCATCCGCCTCCTCCTCCTCTTCCTCCTCCTCCTGCCCATCCTCGTCCTCATCTCCCTCACCATAAGATTCAACCGCAGTCTTACTACTACGTCTCCTCTTCCTTTTCCTCTTCCTCATCCTCCTCTCCTTCCCCCGCTCTCGCTCCCTCCCCCTCGTCCATCTTACCTGCCCCTATGTTCATTCCCGTTCCTTGTCCCCCGCTCATCCTTGCCCCTGGGAATGAGAGGTGAGCAAGAGGTGGGATGGGACAGGATGAGAGCGGGGAAAGGAAGGAGAGGGGGGAAGGAGAGGGAGAGGTGGAGGGGAAGGGAGCGAATAAAGGGGAAGGGAGAGGAGAAGATGTGAGGAAAGGGGAGGGGAAGGAGGAGGGAGGAAGGGGGAGAGTGCCCAGTCTTCCGACGGCTCGAGTTGTTCGAGTCCACGGCACCTGGAGTTCTCGACCCCTTCCTTGGGGCTGGCTTCTCATCCTGCGTATGTCCTTGCAGCCCCAGGGCCCAGGAAACCGCTCCCGAACGCACAAAGAAATACGTAATCAACAAAGCTCTGGCGTGATCTGTTCGAGTCGCCAGAGGTCAGGGTTCCCAGGGGTATCTATCTGGAGATCCCCCGAGGCCCCCGTGGAGATCCCCAGAGGCTCCCGTGGAGTCCCCTGGAGGCTCTTTAGATCGAAGACACGGCATGAACATAAACTTTCAGAGTTCAAAGAACTCCCAAAAATGCGTCGTGGTGAGAGAGGGGGGGGGGGGGGGCGAAGGGAGATTGCTCGTGCGTCAGACCACCGATGTCGTGATCTGTTGTATACGTGGCCACTGGACCTCTGGACCCCGTCCCCAGGACCAGCTTCTCATCCTGGGTAATTTTCTGACGATGCCGGGGCCCGAGGGGGGCTCCCAGATGCCGAACCCACATGGAAAAGACCTGCGCGATTGAAAAATGCAAGACCGGTCCGCCGAAGGTTCTGGGAAGTTGTCTGCCGGAGGCTCCTGGAGGTTTCCCGAGGACCCCCCCAAAAAAGCACCCATAAGTTGTGATCCTTTACTCCCCCCTCCATGTGCGGGAAGGAAAGCACACAGCTGGCCCGTCCACGCAGCTGCAGTCGCCGCCGTCGTGGTCGTCTTCGCCCTCGCCGCCGTCTCCCCTTCGCGATCGGCACCCCGACCTGCTCAGGGGCGCGCTCTGACCCGCATCTCGGGGCGAACCCCGGCCGCGGCGACGGAGGGAACCCCCCAGGGAGCCCCAGACAGAGGGCCGAAGACTTCGAGGTCGCCGTCCTCCTCCGTCTCATCGTCGCCTCGACCCCGCAGGGCGGCGGCGCCAGCGCGCCGCGCGACGATGCCGGCGAGGGCGAGGCCGCGGACTACGGCCCGCATTCGGGCAGCACGCCGAGGAGCCGCGGGGGCCGCACGGAGGACCCTGGGGCGCCACAAGCTGGTGGCAGCGCGCGGGGGGGCCTGCTCCCCTGGAAGGCGGGACAGGGGGGGGGGCTTCCATGGAGAGCCTCCCGCCTTCCAAGAGGCCCCCCGCCTTGGCCTCTTGGCCCTCCTGGGGCCTTCGCCGCAGGCCTCCCGACGGCTCCAAGGGGGAGGGGGGGGCACCTCCAGAGGCCTCCTGGGGCCTGGGGCCTCCAAACGCTGCTGGGGACCTACAAGGGGCCCTCGGGCGCCACGCCAGACAAAAAGGAGAGGGTGGGGCGGAGGGCTCCTCCCTCCCCCCTCCATCCGCAACCTCCTCCTCCTCCTCCTCCTCCTCCTCCTCCTCCTCCTCCTCCTCCTCCTCCTCCTCCTCCCTCCCTGTCGCACCCCCAGCCGTGCCGGTATGGCGGACCGGGCGTTCCGCCTGAGATCTCTTCACAGCGCACGAACTTGAGGCCTGAAATCTGCAAGAGCCACAAGGGTGGGCGGGGGTCATTGTCACAGTGTGGCCCTCGACTTGGCGCCGCGCATCTTCGTTTTCCTAGTTTGAAGAGGGTTCGAGGATGGAAGGGGGTAATTTTCCCATGTGGCCCTCGCCTGAGCGCCGTGCACTTTCGTCTTTTTGTAGCCGCCTCAAGGATGGAGGGGGGTCGTTTTCAAAAGTTTGCAGCAGTTCACTGCTGGAGTGAACACACGAAGTCTGGCCGTGTGGCGGCCATGGCAGGGGGTGGGCCGTGCGAGATGTCTTCTGCAGCACGGTGGAAGGGAGTGGGGCCCCCCTCCCCTCCGACCCTGGACATCTCCACGGGGAACTGCGGCGATCGCCTCAGGACAGCGTCTCCAGGTTCAGGTGCCGAATGCTCTGCTTATGCCCCACATGGATCCTCTCCGTGTTAGCCGTTGTCGGCGTGTGCGGTTGTGCCGAAAACCCTGCAAGTCCCCCAAGGGGAACTTGGAGCAGTTCCTTCTTGGGGGTTCCGCCCTGTCAGGCATATATGGTCCAGGGCTTCGCCCCCCCCCCCCCCCCCCCCCCCCATGCTGATGCCATTGGGCCCCCCCCCCCCGCGCGATGGTCCCCCCCGCACCCCCCTGTGGGCGTGGCGTGGTGCTGCGCTGCGGTGCCCCCCCCCCCCTGTGGATGTGGTGTGGTGCTGTGGTGGTTCAGAAGTGGGCGTGGCGTGGTGCTGCGCTGCGGTGCCCCCCTCCCCCCCCCTGTGGATGAGGTGTGGTGCTGTGGTGGTTCAGAGAGGTCGTCGTCGTCGTCGTCGTCGTTGTCGTCGTCCTCGTCGTCCTCGTCGTCCTCGTCGTCGTCGTCGTCGTCATCGTCGTCGTCGCCGTCGTCATCGTCGTCATCGTCGTCGTCGCCGCCGCCGCCGGCGTCGTCGCCGCCGCAGCCGTCGTCGTCGTCGTCGTCGTGGTCGTCGTCGTCATCGCCGTCGTCGTAGTCGTCGCCGTCGTCGTCGTCGCCGTCGTCGTCGTCGTCGTCGTCGTCGCCGTCGTCGTCGTCGTCGTCTCTGGGACCATACCATCTGGGGGGGGGGGGCCCGAGGAATCCTGGGACCATACCATCTGGGGGGGGGGGCCGTGAACCCTCGACCCTGGATCATATATCCAGCCCCCCTTTGTGCCACATATACTAATCTTGGTCAGTTTCAGTCAGGACAAAGGGTTTGCCGCGCACCGACCAGGATCCGTATTGTCAGGCTAGGGTCGAGGCATAGCATGTTTGTTGGCACCCCAGGTGGAGGCAAGTGCAGCCACGGTCCCAGACCACTTTGCTGGGGTGGGACTTGGCTAGCACTCGACTTCGACCTGCCCCGAAGAAGGTCTACCCAGAGGCTTTGTGTAGCGCCATAGTCAGAGCCCTAATGGACGCCGTGGTTCCTTCGATCGTGGCGCGTGACACGGATGAGGACAATTCCGAGATATCGGACATGTTGCGGTTCTTCGTTAACTCAGCTATGATTTCCTGGAAGGTGCCGGGGATGGGATCAGACTCTGCGGTCCGATCGTTTCCACAAAGGCGTGTCTACATTTCTCATATTTCGGCCGCGCAGAGAGGAAGTAGGGGGAGGGGGGAAAGCTTCTTAGAAGCACCCCTGGTTCTTAGAAGGCGCGGGCCTTGTCTGTAGATGCAAGGCCCGCGCCTTCTAAGAAGCCTGAGGTCCTGGAGCACAGCAGGGAATCTCTCGCTCGCCTCCTCGCCCCACTCCTTGCGCCCCTGATGTGCTGGCCCGCGCTGCGGCAAGCCGCGCCGAGGCGTCCAGGCGCAGAAGGATTCGAGAGATGGATCCTCGCCAGCCCCCCAGTTCAGTCGGCCAATTCGTTCGGGCCACATCCTGAAGCGGCCTGCAGTAGGCAACGCCGTCTCGTTCAAGCTGATTGGCATAGGCGGTTCCAGGCGGCCACAGGTACCGAACGGCGACTCGGTAGATGGCCACTCCATTTCCCGTCCTGTTTTGTGATATCAGATTGGGTAAGTAGTCCAACGTTGCGGCCGCTTCGCGCGACCGAGAGGTCAGTGCTGACCCGTTGCCTGCTCCCCTTTCTCCTCGTCCCTCCTCCTCCTCCTCCTGATTCTCCCCCTCCTCGCCCTTGCTTTGGGGTTTTCGGCCGCTGATGTCATAGAGTCTCCCACGCCGTGGCCCGACCCACTCTACATGTTGACGAGGCTTCCGTCAAGGTTCTAGGGTGGAATTTGGGGGCTCGGGCAGACCCTGTGGCCTGCCACCACCCACATTTGGAGTATCATGCCGCACCCTAGCGGGGTGGCTCCCAGAGCCCAGCGGAGCCCATTCCCGGACTTCCGATCCGATCTGGCCTTCCTCTTGTATCATCCCCCATCCATTTCCAAATAAGTAGGTAGAGCGGGCTGGGCGTTTCGCCTGAGATTCCCTCGCCATTTGTGACCTTGAAGCTGGACATCTGCAAAAACTATAAGGATAGGGGGATCGTTGGCGAAATGCGGCCCTCGACGAGCGCCTCGCATTCTCGTTTCAAACATGCTCAAAAGATTCATGGACGGATGAATGGTTTTCAAATGTGGGGAGTCGCATTAGCTCCGCGCATATTCGTTTTACAAGTATGCAACAGTTTCAAGGACGGTGGCGACGTGATTTGTTTAATGTGGTTCTCTTTCCAGCGCCGCGCACATTCGTCTTAAAAGGTGGCAACAGCTTCCAAGGATGGAGGGAGGTTCCTTCTCAAATTGTGATTGTCGCCTTCGCGCGCCGCGCACATTCGCTTGAAGCCTGCAATGGTTTTAAGGATGGAGGGGATCGCCTTCTCAACATTTCGTTAGCGCCACGCGCATTGGTTCCGAAAGTTCGCAACAGCCTCGAGAAATGAGGTCGGTTCCTCGCCGAACTGGTTCTAGCTTTAGCGCCGCGCACATTCGTCGCAAAAGTTCGCAACCGCTTCAGGAATGGACGGATCGCACTCAAAATAATGCCCTCGCCCTAGCGACGCGCACATTCGCCCCAACATGTTGCAACCGTTTGATGGATGGAGGGCGCCCCCCCTTCAAAGTGGCTCGTTCGCTTCCGCGTGCCGCGCACATTCGATTCAACGTCTTGCAACAGGTGCGAGGATTAAGCGCGTATCGTCTTCAAAATTGCGCTCTCGCTTTAGCGCCGCGCACATTCGCGCCTTGAATGAAACATATACAGAGGGATGGAGGACTGCTCATTTCTGAAAATGGGCTTGCCGCTCGAAACATAGCTGAGTCTTAAGACGCGGAGTTGCAGCAAACCGGGCATGTCACGGATGCAGGATGATCTTGTTAAACTAAAATTACCGTTGGAGATGTTTTAGAATCTTCTGGGCACGAGGGTCAAATTGTGCAATCGTTACACAGGTAAGGGGTGGTCCTTTTTCGAAAGGGGGATCTCAGTGGACACTTCGCCAAACGGTTCTAGTTTTGTTCACGTTCCTGACTGCGCGCCTGAAGGATGCAAGGCGGTGATTGTTCATGGCAAAAGATGCAAGCCAAATTGCGCTGGTCTTTGGAGGGGGCGCTTCTCGCAGTGAATCGGAAAGCTTACAGGGCGTACGAGAAGGGGACCTGGGGAGGGAGGGTCACACACTGCAGGAATCCAGAGACCCCCAGCAGGTTTACTGTGAGAGATCATGCCATTGCTGATATGGCTCAAGGCAAGCATCCGAAGAAAAGATCTCGCCATGGTAGCGGAGCCGTGGTCCCGACCCTCCCAGTCTACGGGGTCGGGCTCCGCGGCTCCCGCTCCCGCCAGCGGCGCGGAGAGCCCCAGCAGCCTGGGGCCGGCCGCCGGTGCGGGAGCCGCAGTAGGGCCTGCCGGGCCCAGCTCCGGCGGCGGCGACGAGTGGGAGCTCGTCGAGGTCCACCAAGGCTGGAGGAGAGTGGCGAGGCAGCTACGCAAGCTGTTCAGGCTGAGGAGGACCTGGGCAGCGCTGGGCCAGCACCTGAAGGATTTCACGAAGCTGCGCGCGAACCGCCGCTGAGATGGCGGAGGAGCGCGTGCAGGCTCTAGAGCAGCAGATGATAGCGCTGGCCCAGGAGCTGCAGAACCGCCAGCAGAGGGAGAACGATCTCACGGCCGAGGTGCAGCGGCTCGGCCGTGTGGCCGAGGCTAGACCACGGGTGGACGGGCCTGTGCTACAGCCTCGAGCCGAATCGCTCGTGGACACTCGTACGCTGGGCAAGCCAGATGTGTTCACGGGCGAGGAGCACAAGTGGAACGATTGGAAGGTGATCTTCAAGGCGTACTGTGGCGTCGTGAACGCCGACTTGCTGGCAGGGATGCGACTGGCAGAGAGCGCTGACGAGGCCTCAGTTCAGAACGATGACTTCCTCGAGGAGAATATGAGGCAGGCCTCGCAGCAGCTGTATTACATCTTGCTCCTCCTCTGCCGGCAGCATCCCCTGACGACGATCGTGAATGCTGGCGAGAATGAGGGCTTCCAGGCTTGGCGCAAGCTGGTTGAATACTACGAACCGAATGCGAGGTCCCGCATCGCGG